TGACCTGGCTTCTCAACTCCACCTAAGCCTCAGCTTTGTCTTGAGTATCAGGGAACTTGATGGGATGACCAGAGAAGAACTTCCAAATCCAAAATTCCACAAGGTTAAGATAGTCATACAATGTCTCCTCAGAGCGTCCACAGAACGCCTGATGGGAGCGGAGGCTCAGTGGGGTGGAGGCTGGGGCAAGTCTTCTTGGAAGGCATCTCTTGGGCAGGGCTTCGTGGCTGAACTGGCAAACTCCTCAAAGTCTCCTGGCTCCTGGAGGGAGCTGCCAGCCCTTGCCTCTCTCTTTGCCTTAACTGCTCACTAGTAGGATCCTCAGGTTCTGCGTTTCCTGCAGCTACACTAAATACAAGAGGCTACAATTACTGAGGCATTATGGGGTCCCTAGAACCCACCCATGGTCATGGTGACCTTTCTGGACTCTCTTGAGGATGCTACAGGCTTAGCCTTTCTCACTTAGTGACAGGGCTTTCTGGACAGCACCTCCCCAGCCCAGCACACGGAAACCATAGACACTCCGTGGAGAGCCAGACACAGGACCTGGTAGTGATCTGCTCATAAGCACCCTCCCCCAAGACATCTTAGGCTGTGAGTATCAACAGGCTGCTCTGTCAGCTTTTTAATTCTTGAGACCAGTTTAAACACTCAGAAACTCCAGCGTGAATGTAATGCTGCAGCATCTTGGGCTTCGGGGCTCCGGGAAGGCCAGGCAGGGTTTCAGTGATTGGCTCAGGGCGCTTTCTCTCGGTGGTACCGCAGTAGCCACCCCGGGATGGATGGCAGAAGTTGTGCTGGTAGGTAGTGTTGAAATAGGGAGGCTGAAGCTGAACAAAGTGGACCAGGCGCTGGGGAAGCCTGCTGAATCCTGTACTTGACCGGCAATCAGTCTGGTAGGAAGATTCCAGAGGTGGCTGCTGGCTCAATTCCAGCTCACAGGGTGCCCAGTGCAGGAAGGTGTGTCTCTTCCACAGGCGCTCCAGGTCTTTCCGTCTTCCAATTCCCTGCAGCAGGCAATAGGGACCCTTCTCAACGGTATGGGCCCTTGGCCCACAGTCTTGGCATCTAGCATTTGCTTGGGCCCCATCTAATCAGTCAGCTTGGCGATGCTGGGTTTGGCCTCCCTCGCCTGGACCCTGCATTTTCAGTAACGTCATCCATTTTAGCATGAAGCCCCCGCGTGACCCTCCCTAGGATATTTGTTCAGAGTTGGACAAACTAGCCAAGAAAACCAAGATTAGAGTTGCCTCTCTCTGGGGCTATTTAGCAGCAGAAGGGTTACGGGGGAAATAGAAAACCCTGCTGCCTGCTCCGTGCCTGTGTCAGGCCTGTGTCAGGCCTGTGTCAGGCCAGGGACCCCTCCCCCTCCTCTCTCCGGAACTCACTTTGTCGTAGGAAGTGCGGTTGTCGTGTTTTGAGAAGTAGTGTCGCCGCACTGGCTCCTTGAAAGAAGATGAGAAGGAAGGTGAGGGCAGGCGTGTGGACCTGTTCCTGCACACAGTGTCTCAGGAGCCACCACTTCTAAGCTGCTGTTAAACTGCCAATGCCCTGAGAGGACAGCGACAAATGACACTGAACACACCGCCACCACCACCACCACCACCTGCCTTCTCCATGTCAGAGCTTGCCCTACCCAGAAGCTTTGGGACTGCTGGGATGTCTGCCGGGTCACTCTGCCATCAGTGGAGGGCTTTAAATTCAAGTTGCCCAGGACTAGGCTTGAGGCCCCCTCCCTCCCACTCACTAACAGCATAGCTGTGCTCTAAGCCCTATATGACATCTGGAAATAAATATGTCTGTCTCCATTTGAAGGTATCTGCTGAACCCCAGGCTCAACAGCCTACTGTCTCCTCCACATCTTCATGTCAAGGCATGGCAGGGTATCTCCAAACACATCAACTAAGCTATGAATCACAGCCAAACCTATTTTACCTACAGCTCAGGCCATGGCATCTGACAGCTAGATCCAAATAGCTGAGCCTTCTCCATCTTTTGTTTGCTTGTTGTCTTGAGACACAGAGTTGCGCTCTGTAGCCCAATAGCCCAAGCTGGCTTGGAATCCACTATACAGCTTGGACTTGAAGAGCCTTCTGCCTCAGCCTCCCAGATGCTGGAATTACAAGAGTGAGCCTCCAAGTCTGGCTTGTCTTGGTGGAAACCACCACCCTGTCTTGCCTGAGGTTGTCAAAGAGCTTTCCATCTATGTCTATGCTTTTAAGATCCCACTCCCTGTCTGTTCTCTTCTCAGTAGCCAGAAATTCCTTAAGTACATAAATCAGATCACATCTTGTTTGCCAAAATCTGCAAAAATTCTTCATGTTTATAAAACAACCAAAATCATAATAGTGATCTGTGAGAGCTGACGCACATCCTCCCCTCTTCTTCCAGCCATACTAGTCTCCTCTCTAAACACCAGAGATTCTTTCCTCAGACCTGAGCTGCTGAGACCCGACAGGGCTGGGTTGGTGCTGTTAGCAGTGGCTGACAACAAGCTCAGATAAAATGCCTGATTTGAGAGCCTGGCAAGGTAGCTCAATGTTTGTAATCTTAGTACTAGGAGAGGCAGAGGCAGGTAGATCTCTGTGAGTTTGAGCCCAGCCTGGTCTATAGAGTGAGTTCCAGAACAGCCAAGGCTACAGAGAAACCCTGTCTTGGGGAAAAAAAAACAAACAAAAACAAACCCAGCATGATTTGGGATATCTCAAGGCAGAGTGCTAGCCCAGCTGTTTTGAGACTCTGGATTTTCATTCCCAGCCTCAGAAAAAGACATGAAGGGAGGGAGGGAGGGAGGGAGGAAGGGAGGAAGGGAACAGGGAGAGAGGGAGGAAAGGAAAAAAGAAAAGGGACTGGTTCCGGCAAACATTGCTGATTCAGTTAAAATAAAGTCTGTGTTATATCTTTAACAGTCTACCCTTTCTGCACTGCCTATTCTAGAGATTGTAAATCTGGAAGGAGTCTCCAAACAGTGTGATAGCGTGAAGAGAGGAAGCTGGCCAGACTTCCTTCCATTCCTTATAAAGGTAACACAATTGGCACTAACAACCTGGGGCTCTTGGAACTGGGGATTTGGCAGTTCAGGGGGTTGAGCTCAGTGGTATAGAGTGGGCTTCATATGTGCAGAACCCGGGGTTCACGCACGCACATGCACTTGCGCACATACTAAAATCAACTGATAACCAACCAACCAGAAAACAGGCAATTTAGAAAAAGAGAGAGGAGAAACTTCAGAATTAAGAGCAGGCAAAGGGTTCTTAAACTTGACACTAGAATCAAAGCCAAAAAAAAAAGAAAAAGTCAGCCAGGTACAGCAGAGCATGCTGCAATCCCAGGGTTTGGGAGGTGGGAGCAAGATCAAGAGTTCAAGGACACACTTTGCTACAGACCATGTTTCAGGTCAACCTCAAACCTGAAGACCTCAAACCTCAGACCTTATTGGACTTAAAAATATTTTTTTTCTTGGGAGACTAGCTGATAGGCGAGACGGCTCAGTGGTTAAGCATGCTTGCTGCTTTTGCAGGGGATTCAGGGTTAGTTACCACACCCAAAGCAGGTGGCTCACAACCACTTGTGAGTCCAGGTCCAAAAGATGAACACGTTTTGGCCTATTTTATCCCCTGCACACTTTTGGTGGACATAAAATCATCACGCACATAAAATCACACGTATACAAGTAAAAATAAATAAATCTTTAAACAAAAGCTGTGCCAGACATGACTGCCATGTTCATGATTTCAGCAGTTAGGAGGCTAAGGTAGGAAGACTGTTACCAGTGCAGGAACAGCCTGGGCTTTACAGGGAAACCCTGTCTCCCAAAAAGATTTTCCTATGAAAATCCGTAAGAGGAAGGTAAAAAGCAAGCTCCAGAGTGAACCACATATTCAGCAAGGGGCTAGAATCTAGAATGTTAAAAAATAATAACATTGCAATAGTAAGACAAACAATCCAATAAGAAAATGGGCAAACAACATGAAGCTATTTCACACACAAAAAAATGAATATACAGGTGGCAAGTACCATGAAGAGATGCTTATCATTGAACAATGGAGAAATTCAGATCAAAATCACAATGAAATCTCATCATGTATCAGGATGGCTAAAACTAAAAATAGAGACAATTCCAAATGTTAGTGAAGAAGCAGGGAAAATGGATCATTCAGCATTGCTAGCGCAAATGTAAAGCGGCCAGGCTACGAGGGAAAACAGCTTGGCAGTTTCTTTAAAAACTAAACATGCAACTACCATATGATCTAGCAACTGAGCTTCTGGGCATTTATCCCAGAGAAAAGAAAACTTATGTTCACCCGAAGATCTGCACAAATGTTCATAGCAGCTTTATTTATAAGAGCCAAAATTGGAATCAGCTCAGATACCCTTTAATAAAGCGAATGCTCAAACAATCCGATACATACAAACCATAGAGCACTACTTAGTAATGAAAAGAAATGAACTATTTATAGTCACAACAACTTGGATGACTCTCCAGGAAATTGCACCAAGCCAGGAAAACCAACCTCCGAGGTTGCATACTGTATTATTACACTTACACGGCAGTTTTTCCCTTTAAGTCATCGAGTTGTTGAAACAGGGTTTCACACTGCAGCCCAGACTGGGCTCACTCTGTAGCTTAGCCTAGCCTCAAATTGGTAGCAGTTTTCTACCTCAGCCTCTCAAGTGCTGGGATTATAGCTGTGGGGCCACAGTGCTTGGCTGTTTTTTGTTTTTTTCTTTTGAGACAAGATCTCCTGTTGTAAGCGTGGCTGGCCTGAAAATTCACAGGCTTCCTGCATTCAGCCTTCTGAGTAGAAGAGTTGTAAGAATGTCACTTGGGAGGCAGAGGCTCCCAACTCTGTGAATTCAAGACTAGCCTGATCTACAAAGTGAGTACAGGACAGCCAAGGCTACACAGAAAAACCCTGTCTCAAAACAAAAACAAACAAACAGAAAAACAATTTAAGAATGCACCACCACACTTGGCCCAATATTTTCAAGTGACAAAATTTTAGAAATGAAGGCAATTTGATAGGAACCGGGAGGACAGAGGCACAGGAGGCAGGTAGCTATGTAGGTAAAAGGCCAGCACCAAGCTTCTGTGTGATGTCACAAACTTAGCTCTGCCGGTGGCTATGTAAACTTGTGCTGGCTAACATCCTATAGACCTTAGTACATACGCACCAACCCAATAACACTGTGACAACTTGAATGAAATGGGTGAATTGCAATTATGTCAGCTACTACATCTTTATAAAATGTTGAGAGAAAAGTGGGCAAAATGCAGAAGGGTTCTTTAGTATTTCTTCTTAGCATTTATTAATGTATATTCATTTCAGTGGAAAAACAAACAAACAAAAAAAAAACCCAGAAGGCCTGTGTGGTGGATCAGTGGATAAAAATGTGCACATGTGTGAAATGAATAATAAATGTTATATATAATCTAGCAATTATATGCACATATATGTATATTCTAGAAATTAGGCTTAGTAGTGGACACCTAACCCCAACACAAAGGAGTGGAGGCAGCTGGATCTGAAGTTCAAGGATGAGCTAGAAGGCAGCTCAGTTAGTGCAAAGTGTGTTGGGTTTGGTCTCATCAGGTACATAAAACAATGGTGATAGCACATCCCATGACCTCAGCACTCTGCAGGTAGAGGTGGGGGTGGGGGTGGGGTGTCAGAAATTCGAGGCCATTTTCAGCTCCGTATAGTGAGAGACCCTATCTCTAAAACAACAACAAAGTTCAAGTTCGTCCACAGCTACACAGGGCATTCAGAGCCAGCCTGGGCCAGTCTCAAAAACTAAGTAAACAGAAGGGAGTCGGGGAGCTGATTCTGTCCTCAAAGCGCTTGCTCTGCAATCATTAGGGCCTAGGTTCCATCCCCAGAACCCACATAAGAAGCTGGGTGTGGTGCTTTAGGGGTGCACCCTTGTAACTCCAGGGCAGGGGAACTAGAGACAGGAAGATCCCTGGGGACTCCAGGCAGCTTAGCTAAACTAGCAAACCCCAGGACACAGTGAGAGACCCTGCCTCAAGGTGACTCACTCAACGCTAACCTCTGACCTCCACATACACATATGCTCACATGCACACAAGTACACACACACACACACACACACACACACACACACACACACGAATTAAAATCTGGAAGTCTGGGAGAAGTTCCAACTGACCTCCTTGTTTCTCCCGTGTCTATTCTCAGCTGCAGAGTCATAGACAGCCTAGAATGAACGCCTCTGTTGTTGGAGGCAGCCCTGACTCTGGAAACTCATTATTCCTACAGTGGCAGGATAATCTATGGACTCCCACTGATTCCAGTTTTGCTCTCTCACAACTGTGGGAGCCTGGTGAGAAGGAGTCACTTCCTCTCCCCCCAGGCAGTTCTGGGTAGTCTTGCCCTTGAGAAGGAGTATCAGCGTCGTCTTTGTCTCTCAGCCATTTAGGCATCTGTTCTGCTGAAGAACCCATGGTACCTGAGCAGGGAGACTAGAGACCAGATTCTTCATTGAGAGGCCTTGGGGAGAGAAATCGGTTCTACTGGGAAGAGGCAGCATTTACATGGGGGAGAGCAAAGCGCCCAGAGGAAGTTGGGCAGTCTCAAGTCAGTGAGTGGGCTGCTGAGAGTCAGAGATGGAGACACAGGGAGCAACGGGGACACAGCACTCGGCACTGTAGGCAAGGACCTGCTCCATCTGTAACTCCCTGTGTCTCTTCTTGTCTGCCTTTAGGAACCAACAGGACTGAGATTACAATTCCCAAGGACCAGGCAGGTAAAGGCTAGAATAAATTCATCTGGCTTAGAAGGAAAAGGAAAGTAGAAAAAAAAAAAAAAAGGAATATTTTCCTATATTCAAATGTCATAGATGAAATTTTCACCTGCTCTAAACCAGAGAAAAGTGTTTCCAGCCTCTCAGGAAGCCTTTTAAACAGCAACAGCTGCAATCAGCCAACTGAAGCTGGTCCTCTCAGCCAATGAGAAGTAAAATGTGCACCTTTCCTGGGCAGTTCTATTAATTAAAATAGGCTTAGACTGAGAAAGAGCTGCGAGACCTGACATTTATCCCACCCGAGCGCAATACATACAGATGGTGTTTGGGGCATTTGATGACGCTAGACAACATCTCAGGCCCTCCGTTTAATCAGTAACCGAGAGATGTCCTCTCTATGTCTTTCCTGAGGGGTGGGTCTAACAAATCAAGGGGCTATTTGCTCTCTGAAATGAGAACTGCCTGAGGGCTACTGTACAATTCCAGCAGGAACGTTCTGGATTGCTTCTGTCCCTGTAACTACTATTTCTCGGTGTCTCTCATTTTTCCTTTCTCTCTCTTTGGTTTAGGGCAAGATGACCTTGGACTCATTATGTAGCAAGGCTATCTTTGAACTCCTGACCTTCCTGACTTCACCTCCCAAGTGATGGGATTGCAGGTATGGGCCACCACACCAGGCTTCTTCGCTCTTTCAAAAGGAAGGAGGGTGCGGACGGGCAGTCTGAAGCTGCATTTGGGCCTGTTTTTTTTTAAACGTTGCCAATAAGACCTTCCAACTGGAAATGCTAAGGAATATGGCAGCTTCCAAGACCCTGCTGTCAGCCTGACAAAGCAATTCCTGAAGACTCCAGATGGCAGATCTAGGAGGACCTGGCCAAAGGCTGGGAACCAGTGGGCAGGCTGTGTTTGTCTAGGCTTTCCTGCACCCTGTCCTTGTTTAGAAGGCAAACCTTGTTTAGAGTACAAAGCTCACTGTGACTGCTGGGAAGCCCTGGGTGGAGACAGAGGAAAACAAACAGGGGGGATGTTTCTTCTCTCTCCTGTGCTCCTGCTGACCACGGTTCTCCTCTCAAGAGCATTGACTCTTTCGGGGCTCCTCGCTCCATACCTATCTTTCTTTTCTGTATTCTAGCAGCCATGCTGTCCTTACCACTTTGGGCTCTTCTGGAATAACAGTAAAGGCCATTTGTCAGCTTTTTGTTTGTTTGTTTGCTCAGTTTTACTCACTCTAAAGTTGAGGAAAGCTTTGAATATATGATCCTCCTGTGCTAGGATTGTAATCACATGCCTTGTTTATTCAGTGCTGCGGATCAAACTCATGGTTTCATGCTTGCTAGTCAGGCACTCCACCAACTGAGCTACACCTCCGCCTGCTTGTTTGAGACAGAGTCTTGCTATGTAGCCTTGCCTGGCCTAGAGTTTGCTAAATACCTCAGGCTGGCTTTGAGTTCCTCTGCCTCTTCAGTGCTAAGATTACAAGACAAGTACAACCAACGCCTGACACTTGGGGGAAAGCAATAAGATTAGCTGGACGTGGTGGCCCACTGCTGAAATTCTAGAATGTGAGAAGTTGGAGCAGGAGGATTATTATGTGTTCAAGGCCAACCTCGGCTACTTGATGAGTTAGGCCAGCCTGGGCTACAGAATGAGACCTTGTTCCAAATCTTATCGTCCCTCCCAAGCAAACAAACAAAATGTACCGAGACCATCTTTTCCTGAGGCCTTCATACCTACTGTTTTGTAAGCAAATACTCCAGAGTTGTCCTACTTTGTGTAGGCTTTTTAATAGTGGGACTCTGGCTGCAGCACACACCTCAGCTGCTCCTCAGCTGCAGGCATGAAAATCTGAAAGGCTGGACCTGCGTCCTCCTACTGTGCTCTTGAGTCCTGTTTCTGCTATTCTAGCCACCTGTCCTCCAAGTCTTCCTCAGTCCTCCCTAGCCAGGCATGTGGGCTGGCGCCAGCCATCACCTACCAACTAAGAGAGGGAAAGAGGAGACTTCCTACTTGTTCCCAAGTCCTAGGCCTGGGAGGCTGGCCGTGGACTTTTGTGGCCTCAGAGAATCTGAAATTAAGGGAAGTTCAGCAAAATTCAAGGTTTTCTTCCTAGGCTCTGAAGGCTCTATTCCCCATTGCCACCCACCCCACCTTGGCTTGGAACCTTCCCCCATCCAGAAGGATGCTCTTCTGTACCCCTTTGGAAGAGATCCGGTATCTCAGGATCAAGGCCCCAGACCTCTCGGTGTCCCGGGTGGACTCTCCCAGGCGCCTGCCTCATCAGTCTAGCTCTGCAAGGGCTGAGATGGTGCTCTTGGGGCCCACTGCCCTGGGGTGGGGGTGGGGTTGTACCTCACATCTCTGCAGGAACGCAGCTGGTGGCTGGGGCTTGGCTGCAAGGCGGTATTCTTCAGCACTCTCGCTCTTGACTCGGCCTCGGTAGTGCCCGTAGAAGCCACTGTTGTGCTATAATAAGGCAGGTATGAATGATGGTGAAGCCCACTTAAATCCCCACCCCGCTTCCAATAAATCAGGTGCTCCCTTCTCAGAGTTTCTGGCAGAAAGGAATTTGAAGAGGAACAATACTCCTGGATTGGAGCCAGCACAGAACTGTCCCCATCTTGCATTGGGGCAAGCTGCCTCAGTCTGTTACTTCCGGGCTATGTGGGTGAGAGGGAAAGGGGTGTTATTGAATCATAACACACCTCTGCAGGCAAAGCTACTATTGAGTGGGGTGGGGTGTCCTTGGGATCTGAGAGGAAGTCTCTTTTGCTTCTCTCTTTACAGTATTAACAGTGGGTCATGGGTCTCAAGAATCCAATGTATTTCTTTTGAATCTATTGGCAAGGCTCTGAACACTCATTTACCATCCGCTCTGCTATTCTGGGGTAAAAATGGGCACCTCTGAACCTGTGGTACTCAAACAAGACATGAACTTTCCCAACAGAGGGTATAACCAATAGAGAACCTTCTAGATATAAGTCAGAGAAAGGTACTGGCAAAAACAAACAAACAAGCAAATGCAACCCCCCAAAACAAAACAAACAAACAATAACAACAACGCAAAATAGAAAAAGAGCTGGGAGGTCGTGCACACAACTTTAGTCCCAGCACTTAGGAGACAAAGGCAGGTGGATCTCTGAGTTCAACACCAGCCTGGTCTACAGAGCAAGCCCAGGACAGCTAGGGCTACACAGAGAAACCCTGTCTCGGAAAAACAAAAATACCCCAAACAAGCAAAAAAACCAGAAATAAGCACTTGTCAGCCAGGCATGATGGCTCATACATGTGATATAAAGCAGTTGGGAGGCTGAGGTGGGAGGGTACTGTGAATTCAAGGCTATTCCGGGCTACATAGAGAGTGCTAGGCCAGCCTGAGCTACTACGGTATCAGACTTGTCTCAGAAAAAAAGACAAGAAAGTCAAGGAAGACATATTGAAAAGAAGTAGGGGCTTAGGGGGAGTCAGAATGGCATGAAAGAGGGTAGTGGAGATAAAATGACCAAATACATTTATATACATATAGGAAATGGTAAACACACACACACACAAATCATAAATAAATAAGCAAGCTGGGGTAAGGAGGAGCTAGAGAGATGGTTCAGTAGTTAAATGCACTGTTTGCTCTCCCAGACGGCCTGAGTTTGGATGCTAGGAGCATGCAAATGGCAACTCACAACCGTCTACAATTCTAGTTCTAGGTGACCTGATGCCATGTCATCTTCTGGGCTCCTTGGGCACCAGGAGCACACATGGTGCACAGACATACACAGACAAAATACTCATACACGTAAAATAACAACAACAACAACAAAAATACTTTTTTCTCTCTTTGTGTCAGTCCTGGCTGTCCTGGACTTGCTTTGTAGACCAGGCTGGCCTCAAACTCACGGCATCCACCTGCCTCTGCCTCCCTGAGTGCTGGGATTAAAGGCATGTGCCACCACACCCAGCTAAAAAATAAATTTTTTAAAAGAGTAAGTTCCTATGGAAGGGGTGTTCTGTGCTGATACCATTAGGTGAACGCTCATGGACAATCATGTCAGGTAAATCCTATGGTCCAGCCCTTCTGTATTGAGTCCTCTTGAAGACCAAAGTCCCTATAATCAGAATCCTAAAAGAAGTGGGGCTGGAGAGATGGCTCAGACGTTAAGAACACTGGCTGTTCTTCCTGAGGTCCTGAATTCAATTCCCAGCACCCACATGGTGGCTCACCACCATCTATAATGAGATCTGGAGCCCTCTTCTGGCATGCAAGCATACATGCAGGCAGAATACTGTATAAATAAATAAATCTTAAAAAAAAAAAAGAGGGGCAAACTCCTTGACATCTCTTTCTGTCTCACTGAAGATTTGCACCTTAACTGTCTATCTGCTCCTGTACTGTTTGTAGACACCCTCTCACTCTACTCAGTTTAATTTAACAATATTTTAGTTCAATAGAATTCACTGTGTTCCAGGCGTGGGAATGGTCCCAGGAACTAGACAAAACCACAAACAATAATCTCCCAATGGTCCCCAACTAGAGCACAGTTAGTCCTGAAGTTTAGCCAGAGCCTGGGAGAACCAATGAAGAACCAGACGTAAGAGGTCCAACTGGCTAGCAGGAGAACAGGAAGCAACACAGCCTTCAGGGGTCTGGAGCAACGGAGGAGGAGAGAGCAGCTCCAGGCCTCTCCCTGCCTGGATATGACTCACATGATCCTCATGACCCACAAAAATGTCATGCTGGCCAGCAGATGGTCAGGATTAACTCTTACCCAGGAGCCTATTATAGCACCTTCCATCTTTCTAGGAAGGGAGCAAAAAAGGCAAACTTTCCTCTTGTCTTTTGAAGCTACATCTGAGAGAGACCCCCAAGAGGTCAGCTTTTTGTTGCTTAGTAACAAAGGGAGGCTGTGACTGCACAATGCTGACCCAGCCTGTTGCCTTTCCTCCTTGCCGCTCTGTTTCTTCTGTATGAGGAAACTCCTGCTCTTGTCATTTTTGGCCTCAGAGAGCCTTTATGCAAACATGCAGAGCTCTGCAGTAGAGTCAGATGAACTCATGGCCAGTGAAATATTAAAGAATACTTTAGAGGCAAAGGTTGCATCTTAAAAACTCTGTGGTAATACTTCCAGAGACGTAAATTTAGAAAGCGCTCCATGGATTCAGAAGCATGTCAGAGGTCAGTTGTTCTGCCTGCTCACTTCAGGATGTTGTGAGGTTTGGAATGCCAGTTCTTACAGGTGGACGCCACAGGGCTTACTGAAGGAGAAGAGATTTGATATTATGGTCCAGTTTTGAGCAACTTTGGGTCAGCTGTATACTTTCTACTTGATCTCTAACAGAGATATGAGCAGTCCACTCCCCCCCCCCCAATTTTTTTAACCAAAAGAAGCTGCCTATCTAGAAACATTCCAATGGAAGCTCACCTGCAAGGCCAGGAAAGGAAAAAAAAATGTGTAAGGCAGGAAAGAAAGAAAAAAAAAATAAGATGATTTTATTTTATGAGTGCTTGTCTGCATGTGTGTGTATGCACACCCCGTGTGTGCAGGGCCATAGACACCAGAAGAGGGCGCCGGATTCCCTTGCGACCAGGATGACAGACAGTTGTCAGCTGCCATGTGGGAGCTGGGAACTGGACCTGGACCCTCAGGAAAAGCAGCCAGTGCTCTTAACTGCTGAGCCATCTCTCCAACCTAAAATTAAATAAATAAATAAATAAATAAATAAATAAATAAATAAATAAATAAATA